CACAAGGGCCATATACCATATGCCATATACCATATAGTGAGCATAGTAAGCATAGTAAGCATAAGCAAAAGCCGATGCCGCACCAAAATCAGTATCAAAATCACCAGCGAATGTGCAAAGCAAAAGCGAAATTCAAAAGCCATTGAAGGCATTCCTACACCAGGCCGGAAATCCAATGTAGACAGCATTGGCGACTGGGGCGTCGACAACGCCGTGGAAGCAGCGTCTTGTCCGTCCGTCCAATCCGTCCGTCCGTCCGTCCGTCCGTCCGCTGTCCGTCCGATCATCCGGCCGTCCGACCGGATGGGCTATTGGGACCACCAAAGAACAACAAAATGTGCACACTTTCGACTGCAGAATGCGAAAATGCAAGCGCTGCACTTACATTCGCGTTTGTAAATGCGATCGCCGATCATATTTCACTGCGCTCTCCCGCGATTTGCGCCCCTTTTTTTTTTCATTTTGTTGCTGTTGCATTCGCTTTCATGTGGGTTCCGACCCCACACAGAGTGTGTGTGCAACTCACAACACTTTCGTTTAATTACAATTTGCATTTGATTTGCGTGGCACAAACCACTGTAATAGAGCCGGCAAAATTAGCTCGCGCCTTTGAAGGTCTTGATCGCGGAATGACGCAGACGCTTACCAAACGACAAGCGACTTGTACTCATTAAGTGGTTTGTAAAACAACAGCACCTGCTAAATTAGCAAACTCAAATTGGCATGCAGACGCACTTTAACAACATAAATTAAAGTGCTTCTAAGGTAAGTGTACGATTTGTAGACTCAATCTTAAAATTAAATGATACGGAAGAGGGAAAATTTCGGATTGACGTAGCCCATTAGAATAAATCAGATATTATATGCGAATTGCTCCTACCCCTATATTTCCTATGAGGAAATACTTACAGAACAGCTGAAACATTTTCATTGATTTTGGCACAGCCACATGCCAACCCCCATTTCATCTGCGTCATCGGAATTAATTCACAGCAGCAAACATACTCTTTTCGATTTAATAACCGAGAACTGCACTGCTTTCTGAATGAAAACTCAGCGCTGAACTTTCGCAGTGCCGATGTCAGCAAAGTTAATTGATCAAGCCCCGACGAAAGTACAAACACACTGGCAAATGTGTACATAAAAACGCTGAGATCGGGCTTTAATAGTGAGGCTAATAAAAATCCAAAAAAATGTTCCTAAAAAGAGGCAATCTGAACGAGAAACGGAAATTGACTATGGGCTAAACGACTGGCCGAGTAAGTTTAAATATGGCTGGTAATCAAAGTAATTCAATTAGAGCGAATGCATTTATCATTTAATAAGATACACAGCACGGTTTTCTGCACTCTTCAATTAATTAAGCCGATAGCATCAGCCGGGCTAAGGAAATGAAATTTATCGGCTTATGCATTCATATTCGCCTCGATATTATATTATTAAATTTTGGGTAACAAAAGGGCGCCTGTGCGCCTTCTTATCGCTGTCAAAGAAAGCCGCTTCCGAAAGGCCAGACGGCGTTCAAAGTGCAGAAACTTACGGATTTGTGGTTCTAACTCCGCTCGAGTAGCTGTCAGATACTCCAGCCAGCTGGAAATCCATGGAAATTAATTGCCGAACGTATGGACATGACACGGAAGATCACGAGACCGAGAATGAAATCGAACTATTAATCGGCGCAGGAGAGTGACAAACATCTATTAGGCGTTTAATTAAAAGTTTCGCATGAACGGTTGAGTCGGCTGCCTTTGTTGCCATCGAATAGATAGCGGCCATGGAGGAGGCTCCTCCACCACCCCCAACCCCATCCCCAATCCTGTACTGCGATGTCCGATGTCCGATACTTGGACAGAGTGTCAAATTCGAGCATTTCAAGTTACCGCTTCAGATAGCGGCGAAGAGCAAACACAAATATTTGCCTACAATTACTTACCGGCCGGATAGATAGTCGATGGTCCGTGGTCAGTTGGCCGGATGAGACAATGGCAATGGCATCGGTCTTGCTCTTGCTCTTGGTCTTGGTCTCCGTATCGCCTCCGCCCGGAATGTTCGTGTGTATGTACATAATTGGGCTATCTGACCGATGGACGATGGACGATGGACGTCTCGGCGGAGGCGCTCCGAATAAATACGGCAATTAAAACGCGATGGACAGATAGTACAGCCGATCGGAGCATGAAGTGGCTATGGCGACGGGCAGGCGATCAGGCCGCCCAACCACCCACCATTAGAACATATATCCCCCTGTCATCGCGTTCCCCTATTTTACACTTGGAGTGAATATTTCGAAATTGCTGGTAGACAACTTTTTCAACGGTCTATGGCCTTACTTAAGGCTTTTATGAAGAGCCAAATATCGAAAATCGTGTATCTGAAGTTCATTGTATCTGAAGGATACCTAATACGCTTCCCTTTTACTTTTGGCGCAAGCTATATAAAACAAATACCCTGCTGAAGCAACTTCGGCAAAATAAATCCTCATTAGGCACAAAGTAAAATTGCTAATGTTGCAGGAGGTGGGACGCAACCCCTTTAGATTTCACTGCGAACAACGTGCAGGCTCTTGCCCTGGAATCAACGTTAATTAGTGCCGAAGGATAGACGCTCCACATCCCCGAAAGCCATCTCGAAATTGCAACACCTGTCCGATGGTCGAGCGGTCACCTGGCGGCGATGCGGAAAGTCAGTGACTATGTAATACACTGTGTTTTGGTCAGCCTAACCGCACGGACTACACTCATCCGATTAAACTTTTAAATAGATGTCAAACAAACTACATACTGCTAACTACAAGGACTTTCGATGTCATCGTCCAGGTTCCACTCGCCAGGTTCGTCGATGTCTTAGGCCTGTCCGTATATCTATATCTCCATCCATATCCACATGCACATCCCCACCGTCTCATGTCCCGTGTCCCCGTGTCCCCGTGTCCAGTGTCCTTGTGTGTTATCCTGGCCAGTCAACCACCTATGTTGCCGGTCGGTCGGGTCGTGACGGACAAATGTCCGAAATTTGAAACTTTAAATAGCAGTCTTTGAAGCATGCTTTCGGGGAGTAGTCCGGGCTGGGGTCAGAGGTGTCTACTCCGTTGGTTGTCTGCCGGATTGGGGCGGAGACCTGATGAGCCGGGCTTGGAAATTAGTTCTGATTTACCACTGCTCCAACAAAGTGTCAGGCGGTGTGACAAGGATTGGCTTTTTGGGGCACATGTCGCCGTCTGTGTGCGTATCGTGTAAACATTTCAAAGGACCACACCTGCCGAAACACGTGTACATAATTGAACGTGCTTGATAGTTCATAGAGCCTATTAACTAACTTTCGGGCACTGGGCTTACAATTTGTATACGGAGATTATTGTAAATGAGCGTTGGAGCGCTTCGAAAGTTTGCAACTACATTGTTGCGGTTTTGGTTATCAAAAACACAAGCACTTAACTGAAATAGCGCTGCAAAATATTGTGGAATGCCTTTTCTATATTTTTGGAAAATATGTAATAAAAGTGTATTGAAATGTGATGGTAATTTATGTTCTTTCTTTCGCTTAAGGGCGATATCAATAGTTAAGGAGGACAAGAAAATGTATTTATTGTTTTATGTAAAAATAGCACATTTACGTCTTCAAGTGTAACCTTAAAGAAAACTTTAGCTTAAAGCAAAGAAAACTTATTTACTGCAATTTATACTTTACTTTGATTTTCCGATTGACACATCACATTCTTCCAAATGTCAAATAGTCCGCCCAGCAAGCTGTCGTTCACCATATTCACAACAAATTTGTCTTCCCCAAACTGGAATATCCATACGATTGGATAAGTTTGCCCTCTTTAAGTGACAGCTTCTCTTAATAAAAATGAATTATCCAACATCCAAAGGCGCGACGCAAACAATTTGTTTCGCTTTCAAATGAAACAATTAGACTCTAATTTTAGACTTGTGCGCTGAACAAGTCAATTTTGTATTCCCAAATATTTTGGGGCGCAAGAGACAGTGTGTGATATCTGAAAAATAAATTGGAGGACTCAACGAATGGCTTCATCCCTCACGGAGAGGTGGGCCACATTAAGATCTTTAATAAAACCAAATATCTCCTCAATTTAGTTTACCAAGTATTCAGTTAAGGCACCACAACTTGAAGTGATAAAATGTATGTAGGCTGATAATATTATTTTCTAAATGTCCAATTCGCTCATGATTTTGTGGCTTAAGGATTATATTTGAATAATTGTAAAACAAATATATATTTTATTTAGATTGAAATCTGCATGATTTCAACGAGTTGCCTTTGCCTTCCACCAAGCAAAGTTTAAGTTCCTAATTTACATTTTGGTAAATAAACTTCTTGACGTTCTTTGAGTCATATTTCAGCTATATTAGTTTCCAAAACCATTTAGAAAACACTTGGTAAACAGCAATTAAAACGGAGCCACACACATATAACTCGACGAATTCGTTTTGCTTGGCGGTGCACAGTGGTTTGAATTGCCGCTTTGGGGTCATAAATCTGCGACGCAAAGTGACACATATCGCAGATCAATATTATCGTTGGGCTTTGGGCACTTAACCCCCGGTTACGTGCACACACATTTACATGTGTTACCGGCGATTTCGAGTGTATACAAATGTCTCTTTCTGTTACGACTCGAATCTAATACACTCCCAGGATCCATTAGAAGTGCAAAACACCAATTAAAGTTTTGCACGGATTACCAGAGGAGTGAAAAACACACAAAAAATAACCAGTATCGTGGTATTACACTCTTTCGTGTTTGTATTCGTTGAGGGGAACGGAAAAGCGAGTGCGAGCGAGATAGCTGCCGCTCTACAGTTGTCCCGCTCGCTCTCGTGCTGCGCAGGCCGCAGATAAATGCGCAGCCATTTTTTAACGGGCGGAGCCTAAAATAACGGAAGCGCTTGGGACTTTGTGGTCGGGCGGAAATAGTGGGAAATTTGGTGTGGTGCGGGAATTTCCCCGCTGATTAGCCAGCTGTGCAGAATTGAGTTGGCTGAGTTTTCCGTGGAAAGTCGAAGAGACTGCGCGCTTTTCGAGGCAATTTTCCCGAGCCAATGCATTTAGAAAAGTCGAGCCATCGGCCCCGTGTGCAGTGCTTACGGAAAAGCTCCCGAAGTCCCCGAAAAAGCTCGGGAGGGAAAGCTTGTGCCGCTTTCGCAGATGCAACTTGCCAAGTCAAGCTGCACCTACTACCTACGCTCAAAATGGCGGCTCTGTCGGCGGAATGCCGATAAATCAAAGTTCCTCATTTTAAAAATGTCAAGTGACCACCGCGCCATCACACAGCAGCGGGTACATTAATAGGGATGGTACTTTTCCTTGACACTTATGGTGAGTTTGGGTCGTAATTCCTCTACTTGATTTAATTAGCACTAGAGATTTTAGAGATTCAAGCTTAGTTGGTGATTTGATTTGCTTTATGTCGTATACCATATGCTGATATTAGTCAGAACTAGAACTATCACTTTAATTCGTATTGCAATCACACTTGTTGGCTATGTTCGATAAAAGTTTGGAGTAAAAGCCAATTAGCAGCTACTAATACATTATGCAGATGCATGCATATAAATCAAGAATGGTAGGGTCCTCATTTTAGTTAGCCACCATTAAGATTTTGTCCGCAACTGTGGGTTCCTTTGCGGCATCAAGTGGCTGGTGCCTGGTGACTGGGGAGCGGCATTTCATCAGAGGGAATTAATCAGAGCAGATGAAGCGACAACCGAAAAATAACGACGCGGCATCTCCCAAAGAGCCGGCCGCTGCTTATCTCCTCAATCTGAATCGCCGCAGCCGGCTTTTTAGTGCGTGTCCCCCGATGGCTGGGACGCTCAGATGCCGAGATGCATCCCATTTGCAGAGTATCTGTATCTGTATCCGAAGGTGTGTGATCCGTGGAACTGGCGCTTGGAGGCGACAGCCGCGGAATGTCACCGGGGATCCGATCCAGAGACCCTCTTCTCACAGTTTTTTATGTTTTTGGTTCTGGGGTTCTCTTTTTATTGGCCATTCATATCCCAGAGCATCCATCAAACGCGCGCCCGTTCATGTCAAATTATAAAATCCGAAAAAATTTAAATCTAATTTTGCCACAGCGTCGACCGAGGACCATATTCAAATGCCTAATGGATTTTACTTTGTCCTGACAAGTACAAGCCCATTTAATCAATAATTAACGTAATCCATCAAGTACAAAGTGTCAAATGCACTCGCGAGCGACGAGCCCATCAGGCCTAAAAGGATTTCCAGCGAAAAGCGCATCGCGTTAACAAAAAATCAAGTTGTCGCAAAGATACACGAAACAAATCCGCGCCCGTCCTGTCACATCTGCATGTCGAAAAACCAGCAGACCCATCAGAACCCGAGTGTATAGCCCAGCAACCCCTAATTTTAACCCCTGCTTGCCGGGAATACGCATAGGCATAGCCATAAAGCAGCGGCGGCAGCAGCAGCTTATCTAAGCCGAAAAGTCGACCCTGATCAACCACTTGCAGACCAGACCCCGTCCGTGTAGATAGCCCTTGTCCTACTCCAAATGGGTATCAAACTACAAATGTCCATTTTTCAATTTACCTGGCCCTTACGCACTCGGCACCACTCCCCCGCACTCACCCACCAACGCATTGAATCTGAAATGCGGACACAATAATATACGGACAGGGGACGGGAAGTGGCCAGGCATACGGACAAACAAACGGACAAACACCCACCGAATCGCCCTATAAATTAGCCCTCGGCCGTGGCGACCGTTGACCAGTTGGTTTTGCTGGCGGCCAAAAGACCGTGAAATTTTCCCAATATGCTGCGTTTTATTTGCGTTTCCCTCCACTCATCCCCATCGCACTGGCCATATACCAAATATATCCCATATAAAATGGTCACTGGGAACTGGGCACTGCTCGCATTTAAATGGACAGCCTGTTTGACGTATGAATAAATTATGTTCTGCCCCTCGAGCCCGCACGATCGATTCTTCGGCTAGTTAACATAATTTTAAAGACAAAGGCTACGCTCCACATATTATCCACGGCCAAAGGGACAGTTGACATCTCTGCGCTTCAGTGGGGGAAATTTATATGCCGCAATTTGTCAATTGTTGCAATTTCTCTTTGTGTGCTCGCAGCTATTTATACAGTTTACTTCCCGAAGAATAGCCCCTCATAAATAATTGAAATGTTTGTTTATATTTCTGGGTAGTGAGCCTGCCGATTAAGGATGCGTACATCAGGTAAAATGATAGGAACGAAATTATGCATTCAATGTATGGCGTACTTAAAGGTGAGATTAATGAACTGCAGTACTGAAGAGTATTCAGTAAGCAATAGTTAGCGCGTCCCAAATGCTGCAAGGATAGTACTACATAATTGTTTATAAACTGAATAAAAATCTATTCATTTTTCTCTTACAGTAACAAGACGGTAGGAGTGCCACTCAATCATCCACAAACAAGTCGTGTTAAAGGTTTGTTAATGGCTCAAAAAGTGACTCCAAATTATAATCTACCCAATATTTCAGCGACTTATCCTGTCATGTATACATTTCCCTGAAATAGCCTGGCTTAAAGGGATGCGACCCGAGCCACTCAGCCGTCGAAAAGTAATTGTAACCCGATCCTGTGTCGCTGGATGTACATAAGTAAATGAGCTTTAAAATAATTTAGCTATCTCTTAAGCACATGTGTTTGTTTTCCCTTCCCAGATACCAGTTCCAGTTTCCGCCGATCGAGCCCAAGTTCATTGGGAGCACGGAGTGTGGAATGGGCGATGTCCGGCCTGACGTTTATGAAAAGCCATCGCAGCATCAAAGCCAATTAAGATACCGGGCACATACAAGCTCTAAAGGAATACGCGGCTAATTTCTGCGACAAAGCCGACAAACGATCGAGTTCGAGGTGGAGCGTCTTGGGGCACAAGAAGCGGCACTTTTGTCGCAAACACAGGCCGTAAAATTAAGAACTCTGATTGGTAACAAATGTTTTTGTTCATTCGAGTGATAAAAACGTAGCGAACCGAAAAGATATAAAGTTCTCTTTAGTGACTTGCCAGTGCGGCGATGATAAAATATTTAAATGAGCGCCGAATGGGTAAGGTTCGATGGGATCTGCTTGGATCGAATCGGACATTTAGGAAATCAGAGGGACAGACCCAAAACCTTAATGGCCGCGCACACGAACCTGGCCAACAAGCCCAAAACAGTGGGCTTAAACAAGGCCCAAGGGCAAAAGTGTGAAACATTGAGCGGCGTAACGCCAATAGCATTCGTCGATAACCACTGTGTGTCTCGCCGAGTAAGTCGGTCGGCTGTCATGATTAAACAAAAGTCCAATGCCAGCTAGGATATTAAATTACAGCCCATAGCAGCTGAGGACAGGGGTAAGGACCCATTCCAGCTTGCCCCTTTGGAACCAGCCGACGACGACCAAGCCCAAACCCAAAATCCAAAATCCAAAAGCAAAGGCTTGCTGCAGATACGAGAAACGGCCACGACAAAATCATAAAAGGCATAAACAGTTGTAAAGACCCAAACCACAAAGGGCGTAGAATCAAAATTGAGCACTAAAACGTTATCGAGGTCGGCACAGATTAACTAGCCTTTTTGCTGTTGACTTCGGGCTGGACGAGGGACATACGGACATACGGACACACGGACACACGGACGCACGGACAAGTGGGACAAACGGGCGACGACATCCAGGCAGGTAGTTCATTCTGAAATATCGAATGCATCTTAAAGATACTTGTGCGACATTACGATCATTACTCTGTGTAACAGATATGCACTGCGATGGGAAGGAGCGGAGGATGGGAAAGGGGCATGGACGGCAGACAGGTCGACCTGTCGTGTAATCCTGGCCTGTCGGTCCTGCCTGGCAATTATAACCATATATAGCCCCCGCTGGCGACGGTGCCGCGCTGACGACCCACAACCGAGTTATTGTCCAAAAAATTGTCATTCACAACTGTCTCGCCGATAAGAAACAATTATCGGGGCAAAGGGACGGCGGTAGGAGAAATCACATTGAATGGCGCCAGTTTCACAATGAATCTTCACGGAAGGGACAAGTCTTACGTTAAGATTTCGTCATGCCCTTTTAAAATGTAGGTTACATAAATATGTTTATGGGATATGTTATGGAGAGCGGGAATGGCTACTACCGAGATCTTACAACGTGGGAATGAGATTACAGGAGCACTATGCTCACTCTTTAAGTCTAATGGCATTTGTGATATTTCTAGTTTTACAATTTCAATCTACCAATTAACTTTTTTTTCCGTCAAAAAATAGTCCGATTTTTTGGCATAACATTAAAAATAATGGTCCAAATATGGAATGCCACACCTCGATGAGCTCGTAATTAAATTTACAAACTTGTGGCGTTCAAATTTGAAAATCTTAAAATTTTGCCATTTTTTGTAAATTTTGATGATGTTACCCCTTGCCAAAAATGCGAAAAATGGCCCAAAAATTAATTTCGCTTAGTCGGCCAAAAAGTGATAGGGATCGTTAGTATTGATAAAAAGCTTTGTAAAACGGTTATTCTTTTAGGTTTGTGACCTTTTTTAGCCAAGTTATGACAATATAACCCTTAGTAAACTTCGAATTTTTGACAAAAGTCGTTTTCCCGATTTTCCGTCAAAAAATAATCAGATTTTTGGGCATAACATTAAAAATAGTGGTCCAAATATGGAATGCCATACCTCGATGAGCTCGTAATTAAATTTACAAACTTTTGGCGTTTAAAGTTTGAAATCTTAAAATTTTGCCATTTTTTGTAAATTTTGATGATGTTACCCCTTGCCAAAAATGCGAAAATTGGCCCAAAAATTAATTTCGCTTAGTCGGCCAAAAAGTGATAGGGATCGTTAGTATTGATAAAAAGTTTTGTAAAACGGTTATTCTTTTAGGTTTGTGACCTTTTTTAGCCAAGTTATGACAATATAACCCTTCGTAAACTTCAAATTTTTGACAAAAGTCGTTTTCCCGATTTTCCGTCAAAAAATAATCAGATTTTTGGGCATAACATTAAAAATAATGGTCCAAATATGGAATGATATACCTCGATGAGCTCGTAATTAAATTTACAAACTTATGGTGTTCAAATTTGGAAATATTAAAATATTGCCATTTTTTGTAAATTTTGATGATGTTACCCCTTGCCAAAAATGCGAAAATGGGCCCAAAAATTAATTTCGCTTAGTCGGCCAAAAAGTGATAGGGATGATAAAAAGCTTTGTAAAACGGTTATTCTTTTAGTATGCAAGCTTCTCAAGCAAAGGATTTGATATAGCTGGCTATCCACTTAAATAGGTTAATCTGGTACCTTATAACGCCGCGGCGTCAACTTTTCCACCCCAAGTAACCATCATCGATTCTGGGGAGTGACCAAGGCGCACTCGTCTTAATGGCAGCCCTTCGAGGAACATAATTTACTCCACGTGTCGGGGATTACATATTAACTACGCCACTGTGCTCATTTGGGGGGCGTGGCGCTACAAACGTCGGCTGTTAATCTTCAGCTGCCTGGATAGACATTTATATAGCTATTTAAGGAAGTGTGTGCTCACGTTTGTTTATACTACAATCCTGGTTGTGGCCCTTTTTGTGGCACAGCAATAAGTATTAAATTTCACTTTGGGGGATGCCACTTAAATCAAATATGCTACTCTCACATGAAATGCTGGGAAGAAACACTTTGATTAATATTATGGTATTTCAATGACTTATTTATCAGAATTTACAAATTTTAGATAAAAATAGGGATATCACACAGTTATTAAAAATGTTGTAGATGGGTCAACAAGAAATATACATATGTATGTGATCCTGAGAGATGTTGAATAAGTTGTCATTATTAGGCAATAATGGAAAATTTATAAAGTAAGAGTATGTGATAAATGAGACGACAGGTCTTTAAACATCTTAGTTCATGATGTTATCCCACTTATAGATATAAGCAGAATGAAAGTTTATCCAAGAGTACTTAGGCGCCACAAATTGATGTTGTAAGTTTGTGAAATACTCAGTTCTATGTAAATTGCAGTGTGTTCTCCCTATTCGCAGCTCATAATAAGGTTTTCCCCGTACCCACACACAATACAAATTCGCTGGCCATGCGCCCGACTGCCATTCCATATTCAAATTCGCATCGGCGCCGGCGCCACCTGCCATCCGCCGCTGTACTTTTGCACGATCCGGTGCCATCGTGTAGTTGTTACCCCCCAGCTGGCCTCGGATCGCCCCGATCCTGCCCAGATCTGGGCCAGAAACTGCGCGTAGAGGCGATCGCCAACGAAGCAACTGCGGTGTGGCCATCGTTTGCAGGATTGCAAGAACATTGTTCTCGTTAAACAGAATCATGTACAGGGAGGCCTGTACCTTGGCGGCCGGTCGATCGTGGGCACAATGTCGGAGCGCACATGCGGGCCACACAGGAATCCCCCCACCACGGGACCAGATAATAAAGACCCACTAACAGAGAGGTGACTTCATTGAGGATCGTGTTGGTGCCCGGTTTCTAATGACATCTATGCAGTCTAGTCGGGGTTATCTCGTCCTGCAGATTCGGGACTGGAGACGATCCCGAAAACCGCAATGACCCCGATCGCCGCATGAGCATTATCCGATCCGGTCTAGCGCTAAAAGGGCAACTCACGGGAACTGAGGACCAGGACATGGAGGAGTGGCTAATGCGCCGACACCCCGCTGCGAGGTGAGCACACAGCCGCCTATAATTGAGTTATACATTCGACTGGCCAACTGACCCCTCCGAGTTCCGATCCCGAATCCCTACCTCCTTGGACTGCCAAAGGTTCGCAGCAGCTAAGCGGACAATGTTTTGACATAAATAAATGCCTGAATGACTTTAAGTGATGGCAGTTTACTTTGACTTTCTATACCCAAACTCAGTTTGGCATGATTTATGGGGCACGATCCGGGGACTGCTCAAGACATTACTGTCGTATACACATAGGTTTCCATATGCTGGCAGGGGCGGAGTGGCTGGTCCCGATGCTAATTCGTATTCAGGTAGTCAGCGGAAAACAATAAATATATTCGCAGCCGTCCTTTATCGACCAGCTCGGTTTGGGTTATTATGACTTATAACAATGCACAATAACTGGATCAAATTTATTGTGGGTTTAAGGTGATTGAGCATTGTTCCCTTACAAATTAGTCGTCCTTAAAATATTTTAGCTTTTCCATGTATTCAATACAAATAGTTATCAAGTAACGAATTTATAATTCACAAATGTCAACTTGATTTTAACATTTTAATACACTTAAATCGCTTACTTAGGAATTTAAATCACAACAGTTACTGGATGGAATCAACTATATAATTTACAAATATCTAGAAGATCGTAAGATGATTAGCCCATTATATTATAAATAGCGAAATTATTATTTAATAAAGAATATTTTTCTGGAGTATCTTCAAAAATTAGTTGATTTTTTGACATTTTCCTACTGATGTCATTTCTATATTTTCGTTACTTCCTTTTATGTACATATACTACTTAATATGAAAGTATGTGATCACTTTATATATTCAACTAAGAAGAGTGCTCTTTTGAATAACATTTTATTGAGTGTTATTATATTATTATATTACTTTATTGAAAATAGTTATAGATTAATAAAAAATCCCATTCAAGATGATTTCTTATCAGTTTAAGGTTCAGATAAGCAGATGTTGGTATGCGAATATGTTGCAGCCAATACTTAACCACATAAGTATGCTTTAGAAGGTGCATTGAAAAATACGTTGCATACTCTTGGGCATAAGTCGAAATGGATGTTGCGTATGATCCTCTTTTACTAAGTAGATCGACAATGATTAGAAAAATAATTTATTTCATGGTCAAGATTCATACTTAAACTCTGAATTTAAATCAGATCACTGCATTACAGGATTCATTGTCATGATCACTTGATAACTTGAGTGAAAGTAAATATTACAATGTATTTTGCACCATTGTTCGTTTTGAATTGGCACAGTTTTGCGTACGATCAAAAATATTCGATCCCAAATTTATTACAAATATAAAATTAATTAAAATATAAAAAATACTCTTTGATAATAATCATAATTTCTATACAAAAATGCGTATCATGTATCTAGAGCAGTATGAAACAAAAAAGTTAATAAAGCAAACCTTCTCAAAATATAGTTATATTTCAAAATTCCTAACCTTTCAATGAGTCTCAACTCTTTAAATTGTTATATAACTTTAATATATAAATTATTTTCTCCTGCAACTCATTTTATTGTAAACCACTTTCAGCAATTCAACGTATGTAGTTATATAATATCTTGTAACACAAATAAAAACTGCCTGTTAATTTTGATAGCTCTCGAAATTTACGACTAAAATCATATTTCTTGCTTATGCAGAGTTTAATATTAATATCAACAAATTAATACCTACAAATTGAATTTTCCAAATACTACAAGAATATTTTTGTTAGCTTTTGATCAGCGGCCATGTAAAGTATTTTGTTTGTTTAAATGTCCTGACTATGTTGTATTTACAAAAATATACATTTTAAATAATTACATTTGCAGTCGTATATGGTTGATCATTAAATGATCTAATTAGAGCACTAACGAACATCAATACAATTTTCAGATACACATAACACATTCATCCAACCAAATTCTATCGGAAAGTACATGAGTAAAACTTCCATCCTACTGTGATGTCCTTATTTTGATAACGTATTACTTTTTAAGTCTTTATAATCATATAATGTGTATTGTAAATTAACATAATTATGTCCAGCTGCTATCATCCAGTCCATCAAGAATCGTTCATTATTTGGTAGGTTATCTGCAACTAATGAATGGATTAATAGTTAATCAACACAAAAATTGTTCACAAACCATGTTCTCAAGCTGACAAAATGGTCCTTGGCAACCTGAAATTTATAAATTGATAATGATAATGCATAGAATTTATAATTTTTCCAACATACAAACATCGAAATTTATCCGAGAAATACTTTTTCGGAACATGGGTGTCAATATCCTTTCACTAAAGAGTCCGCTGTTTTCGCAGACTTCCAACTCATTCATTGACTGCAAAGAAACTGAAATCTTTGATTATTAAAAAGTAAGTTTACCTTTATTCAAAACAAATGCATACTTACGATTGGGAGGCGAAGAGGATGGAAACGAGACTCCACGGCAAGTGGAGACAGATTGTCTGGTTTGACTACCTGTTGGATGTGCACACAGTTGGAAGTGCTGATGCTGCCCGACTCATCCATCGGATAAGAATCAGACTCAATGGATCGAAAATGAATGAATCAATTTCGTACCAAAATCAAGTTTATTTTTGTCTTAATGCCACGAATCCAGAATGCATCGGCATTTGGGCTTTCCACATCTGAAATATCAAGAAGATTAACCGTAAGATAAAGAGTTTCCGGTCAAACAAAATAAATGACACAACGCGCTGCGTACAGTGATGTCTCGGAAAGATGGACCCATTAACAAATTGTTAGTATACTACATTTTCTGTTCAATATTTACATTTACATATTTATTTACTCATTTAAATAAATCTTTTCTTACTTATTCTGTCTATTTAATACCATAAAGGATTCTCATACAAAATATGAATGGCACCCTTTAAATAGTCTGCATATTACAGCTTACATTAATTCAGTTCAGGGAGTTGGGAAATTTCTTTGGAAATTGAGCAATCATCCCCACATGCGAGGCCCCACTGTACCGAGCGGCAAAATATTTGAAAACAAAAGAACTCCTAAATGAAGCCCCAATACATTTGGGCTGTTGAACGGGCATACAAGCCAAATAAACACGTCGCTTTCCATTCGTTCCCCACACTTCACGGCCAGCTAATTAATGACGTTGGTCAGTCGGTTGGCTCAGTTCGGTTCCCTCGATGCCAACCGATCGGACCGGGCCAATATAGAGTGCAGGCCCTATGGAGTGATGCCATTTTGGTTTTCAACTTCGTTTTCGTTTTCGTTTTCGTTTTGGTACGGGGTTTTTGAAACTGGGACCCGGGGCCTCTCCTATAGATTCTTTGGCCTGGTGACGGTGTCGTAAGTGAAGTGCCAATAAACACGTGATTTACTTAAGCTGTGATCCGAGCGGCAGGGACGTGGGCTCTCTGGATCTCTGGAACGGCCAAAATCATGGGGCTTATCGCTGCCATCGGCCATCAAGATGCCGCTCATTAATTTTAAAATTAGGCGGGTTTTCAAGAAGCGAAGAGGCCCCGAGAAATGATGTCCACCTTTTGGTTGAAGACCGACTAAACTGGCCATCCCAAACCCATTTTCCAATCCCTGGTGCCCGTAGCCCGTTGCCCGTTTCCCGATCCCCGAGAGACCCCGATGCACTGGCGACCGACCATGAGTGCATAAATTAATTAAGTCGGTCGGAATGGGAACGTGTCGACCTTTTGTCTGGCATTGTGGCGAAGATGGCGGCTGTGGCTCAGAGTTGAGAGCTGAAAGCCCCGCTGCACGTACATATACGCGTATGTAGATACAGATACAGATACATGGACGAAGGACCGAGGACCGAGGAGCGAGGAGCGCGGACTGAGGACGTAGGACGCAGAACGTAGGACGTTGTAAATTAAAAGCCGCGGGCCGGGTCCTTTATATGCAGCTCCACCACAGTCGCAGACTGAGTCATTTGCATTTTGCCAGCCGGGCAGCCGACCAGCCGACCAGCCGGCCAGCCTGATTATGAAAGATGCTGCGTGGGTGATAAATGGTCGTTGTCAGTCCGAAAAAGCGAAAACCCCAGCGATTGTTGCACTTTCGAGCAATGGTTCCATTCAACCCCATCGTTAACGCCGAATGGTAACCCCTTGCTGGGTGAAGATTAGCCCAGACGTCCTGCCAAAATTTATTTGTGTGTTCATCCCTCGACGGCTGACAAGGGCCAAAAGCCAATGCCAAAGCCAAAGCCGAAGCCAAAGGCTACACAAATCTAATAGATGCCGATTGAGATTTAATTATTTCACTTAATTTCATGGCTGACTTCGTGGCTAACTCGCCTGTCTTCGCTGCGAACAAGTTAATGAAGCGAATAAATTTCTTGGCAATTATTCTGCGGATTGTTTTAATTGACCGCAAAGGGCTGCCTCCTAGATAAATGAGTGACTAGCCAATGGAAACGAGAGGATAAGACGTCGAAGGACGCAGCAGGAGCTCGCTAATTAACTAATTGGCAAGTCGTTAACTTCTGAGCTAAGGGGATTTTGCCTCTGGCAAAGTCTTACGATGAACTACACCTGCAATTTGTACCAGTCCACATCCGTTGCATACCTTGAGTTTCTTTTTCTCACAGCTTCTTCTCGCATAAATACGGACTGTGTTTATGATGAGTGATTGCTATGAGTTGTCAAAGAGGCATGCCACCCAGCCGCATGTGTGAAGGTCCTTTTCAGGGTTGGCTGTTGTGCTGGCCACGGCCGTTAAGCAGGAAATCCACCAGGATCTGGCTGGAGTATGCCGTCAACATATGCAAATAGACTTGTCTGCGAACTCAAGCCGAAGGTGGCCAAGAGGACGAAGTGGCAAGCGTGCTTTTCCACCCTCGCAGAGGTACCACGCTGTCGACACCGCCCCCTGATAACAATCAACCCCGTGCGGCGGCATCGGCGGGAATTTACTTTAATGTTTTGACAGTAAAATAAACATATCCAAGTGCGGCTCTCATCGGACGAGTGTGGGTGGGTGGGTGCAGTGTAGCTGGGTGGTTTGTGGTGCGCATGCACACGTACGGGTATTTGTTCCCACACCTTGGCAGTGTGAGTGGCATCTATGTGGCCGGGTACACACATGTTGGCACCGGCGGGGGGGAGGACTGCCGTCCAGACACATAGATGTCAAATATAATTCATCATCCTGGCGAAACATCAAAGCCAGCCCCTGCAAGGACCGAGCACCAAGGACCGAGCACCAAGGACCTGGGCACATGGCAAACACAAAGTCGCCAACAGCATCATTATCAGCTGGTCCACTGTTTTCGCCCGGTCAAGTGGGCCAAGCCCAAATCCTGAGCTTCGTCTGGCCAGGGTGTCGAAATGAATGGAGTGCACTGGACTTGCAGAACTCCAATAAAAACTTGAACAAAATTATTCCTTTAATTTAATGAATTTTTTGTTTATTTAAGTAACCTTCTAAACTTAATCTGAATAAAGAAAATGTTAAAAACCTTATTCAAATTATAGTTGCAGTTAGCCAACATGAAGGAATATAATCCTTTTTAGTACTATGAAAAGCTGGAAGTTAAGATGCATATTTGGCCAATAATCTGGAGCGTTTGCCACTCTGTTTACCGTGCACTGAATAGTTGGTAGCTTTGATAGTAGCTTTTTTGCGGCAGAGTTTTTCCAATTGCTCAACTTATTTATAGCTGGCTTTTCAGAGGAACTGCGAGGACTCGGTGCTCTACCGCAGGGCAAAGAGCGGCACTTAGGTCGAAGGATTCGCACGACGTCCTTTTAAATAATTAATGTCAATTAGAGCCAAATCTAACTTTGGCCATCAGTCGTCGGCCGCCTGAAGGACTTAAAAAGGCATGAACTCTTACTCGTTTACCTGTTCAGTTCCGGTGCTGCCTGCTGTTGGGCTGTCTGTCATAAATATTTTATAACATCAATTACCAAGCACTTAACTTTCATGAATTTAATACGAAAGCTTCAGCTGCTACCAGGGGTAGGCACTCACTCACTCACTCACTCACTCATTCACTCATTCATTCATTCATTTATCTTGTGTGCCAATGACGAGCAATCAACACTCAGCACTCGATGTCACATTTTCGCAGTCACTCTTCTTCGATGCGACAAGTGTAAGCCGGCAAAAAACACACATCTGCCAACACACATATGTTTGTAGTATCGATATATCCGGCCTGGTGTCCTGGTCCACCAGGAGCGACCACCCCAAGACCGCCGTGATTTACTTCCCCTTCGGTGGCGAGAAATCCCAAATAAAATAAAATTAAATACGCATCAGGAGCACAAGTGCTTAAGGCTCGCGGCCAGGTCTTCAGTCCCTCGTCTGCCTGATAAAAACAATATCAATGGCCCACCCAAAAGAAAAAAGAAAACCAAAATCCCACCCCCACCCACATCCCCTCCCGCCGAAGGACGACCGTTTGGGCCAAGATTGGAGGCAAGTATCGCATGAAGCGGCGCGTGCCGACGACGCACAATTCCCCCATTGATATTCATGGTCGATTTTCGACCCGATATACTCTATACTACCCGTTCCCACACCCAATCCCATTCGCAGGGCAGAAAACAGAGCGGAAAACAAAACGGTGCACACATAAATAAATAAAATTTATGGCAGCAGTCGTCCCAATTGGATTTCGGGGCACTTGTAGTGGGTCTTTGATATGCCCGATTATTTCTGTTTGATTGTTTGATTAGATCGGAGGGCCGGAATCCGGTGAAATGTGGCCAAAGGAACAGCCCGCTTAGTGGCATATGCCGACTAAGTTGCTCCTTCGGCAGTGGGGTTATTATACTGATTAATTCGATTGCAGGTGCAGTGATATAAATTGTGCTGACTGCGTATCTGAGCTATTTACCTGCGGATACAGTATTTATGAGATGTATTGCACATTAAATTCAATCTGGGTACTCAATGGATTCAGGTGAACTGCCACTTTGAAGGGCTTATACTCACATTTAGAATTGAGTATTTGAACTCTCCAAATGTGTAAGCTTCCAAATTCATAAGTTCCAAGGGATAAAAACCTTAGTTTCCTACAGATACTTTCACTTTGTTTTACTTTTGGTATTACTATAGTTGGCTTGCTTAAAAGTGGGAAATAGAAAAACCATTCAGCCATTAATACGTTTCCTAATTGTGTTTTCCCTTCTCCCCCGCACTGCAGCATCTATTAATTTCAATTAAATGCGGAAGACAAACTCCCCTGAAATTCCATTCAACTAATCTGGCTACAAGGACGCACCCCGCGAGGAAGGATTGATTTCCATCTGCCCAGCCTCCTGTTCAGCACTTATTCCGGCCAAATCGAAAGGGCTCTAAAGTCTCGGTTTATCTAAATGCTGCATTGTACTGCTAAAGTGTCCCCTGAGATTTTCCGAGGCGCTGAAGCGTGCCACCCCGGTTTTGGGCCAACAAAATGCAGTGGTTTCCGGTTCGCCAGCGACCCCAGGCCGGGCTCTATGGCCACGGGTACAGTGGGAGTTAATTCGCCAAAGTCAGTAACCTCATCAAAGAACGGCTAACCGTCTGTCGACTGCGAAGTCGTTTGGTGGGGGTCCACTCCTTCGGCTGGGGGTGTCGTCTACTCCACCGCCGCCGCATTAAATTCACGCCAAACGACGTGAGGCGCATATGTTTATGAGTCTCGTCGAGA